GAGGTGGGTGTTGGTCTCTTCTCCCAAGTAACTAGCGACAGGACGAGAGGAAATGGCCTCAAGTTGCGCCAGGAGAGGTTTAGATTGGACATGAGGAAAAAATTTCTTTGCTGAAAGAGTGGTTAACCATTGGAACAGGCTGCCCAGGGAAGTGGTTGAGTCACCATCCCTGGAAGTATTTAAAAGAGGTGTAGATGCGGCACTTAAGGACATGGTTTAGTGGGCATGGTAGTGTTGGGTTGTCGGTTGGACTCGATGATCTTAGAGGTCTTTTCCAACCTTAATGATTCTATGATTTTTCCGCTGCAGGGCAGGGATCAGACTTTCATGTTTGGTCCCCAAAATGGCATTGAGAAGGTCCACGCAACAGGATGTGGAATAGAATATTTTCAGTTGGAAGGAACCTACAACAATCATCTAGTTCAACTGCCAATGCACCTATTGGCCCACTTTCATCTTTTTACACAGCCAAGGCAGAGGACATTTGTGTTAGGTCTATTTGGCTAATCTCAGTTCCCCTCTCCCCCATATAAGCACACATATTCCCAGCTCACCCCTGACCACAATAACTGACTCTAGCGCAAGACACAATAAATCAGTGCAGTCATTCAGCACCGGCTCGTAAGTCCCCTTATTTAGGCTGGGACTAAACATCTAGGAGGGATTCACTGTTTTTCATTCTCCCTCTGTTCAACAGCCTCTCTTCACCTCCAGGAATCACTGAGGTATTCAAGTGTCAGCAAAAGGGGGGGAAAGGACACATACAGATGAAGACTGCCCTCTTTGTGACCAAGAGCTGAACCAAAAACCTCCAGAGTTAGAAGCACAACTTTCTACAGTTCAAGCGACAGCAGCAAACACTGCAGCTACAAGCACCTAACATGCTTGGTAAACCTGTGTGTGCAGTAGGACGTAGAGAGCACGAATATTCCCTTCTTCCTCTCAAACCCTTGGCACAGAAGAGCTTGTTGGAGGGCAGAAGCAGCAACATTGGTTGAACAGGTGAAGTCCTGTACACCAGCCACTGGTGCCTCCTTTGCTCATCTGCCCCAGTGAAGGGGAGCGCATGCCACAGCAATGCTGCTGCTGAGGCTATGCATTTCTCTGCCATGCCAGCAGGAGAGAAGGATTCAGTATGGCCTCTTCTTTGTCATCAAGTGGTATGGTGAACCTCTTCCAGAAAGGATGCTGCTCAAAGGCCCTGTGTTCAGCTGTACTACTAGGCTACTAGATCTATGGAGCACAGATTTCCCACCTGCTGCATGACTTCCACAGAGCCATAACGCCAGTAGCACACATCACCGATAACGATAAAGTATGCAAGCTGCAAATTCCAAAGCAGAATGATATTCTCAATGTGCAGATCAGTAGAATTGTTGGGAATACAAAGGAGCTTTTTATGGGGCAATGCATCTGTCTGGTTAGTCAGGAGACGCAATGCTTTCAGGCCTGGAGGGGAGGGAAGGAGACCATTTAACTGGGAGGAATCTGGAGTATGTCACCAGGGTCAAAGGTTTAGAACAACCTCAGTGCTTCCTGGTGTTAAACACTGAGCAGCACCCATAGACTATTCATTGTGGTGGCCGCATGCCTGCTTCCCAAGTTAATCTGCAGTTCCACTGCTCCTCTGGGGACAAGCACACTGAGTCTCGGGTCATCCGGCCAGCTGGGAAGATCTTGCTCCACTATGCTGAGGTGCTCTGCACAAGTCCTGCAAAAAGCTGGGCACTGGAAAGGGTTCTAACTCACAGTCTATCTCTAAGGAAGAAACTTCGGCTGCAACAGCAATGCTCAGCTGAGGAGCAGCTCTGAATGAGGGGGGAGGAAGTAATAAGAAACCTTACATTTTTTCACAGTAGTGACATGGGCGGGTGAAACAGAGGACTCGAGGACACCAGCAGAGGAACAAGGCAAGGAAAACAAAGCCAGTTACAAGAGAGAGAGACTGTGAGAAGTGAATCCCTGGCTACACCACAAAAACTGCTCTTGCTTCCAATACTCTTCCCTCATCTCGTAGATGAAGGCTTGTGCCCCACACCTGCTGGCCCTATAAGCGAGTCCCAGCCATACAGCCCACTCTGATCCCTTTATTACTTGCTATGACACAGCAGAGAGACAACAGTCCCGGGCTGCAGCAGGGCAGGGGTTATCTTCTCATACCACCCTCCCTCAAAAACAGATCTGCGCCATACAAACAGCCCAGAGGTCAAACCCTAAGGTCATCTGAGCAGCATAAAGT